ATTTATAAAGAAGAAAACATTGGGCCGGCAAAAAATGAAAGTAGCTTAACAAATTATACAAGGAAGGGGGAAAGTTGGCGGAAAGCTTTTTTAAGAAGAAGGAAAGAAACCGCATGCTTTCGGAAAGCGAAGTATATAAACAAACAGATATAGTCTACAGTAGAAAGAGCTCCGTACGTACTGACACCGACCATAGTAAACTTCGGGTAGGTTGTTGACTGAAACTATGGGTTCCAGGCTGATAACTAAAGAATCGTTAAATCTAAAGGACAACTAAATTAGTCTACAGTTACCCAGTATAATGGTCTATCTCGGTTTGAAAAATGTTTTATCTGTCTCGAGTTAAACATATTCTATGAGTTCTAAATGACAGGAACTCAGTACATACAGCGCCGTACATATAGACACGGACCGTAGTAAACTTCAGGTATGTTGTTGACTGAGAAATTATGGGTTCCAGGCTGATAACGAAAGAATCGTTTAATCTAAAGGAAAACTGAAATAGTCCACAGTTACCCAGTATTATGGTCTTTCTCCGTTTGAAAAATGGTTTATCTGTCTCGAGTTAAACATAATCTATGACTTCTAAATGTTCAGGAACTCAGTACATACAGCGCCGTTCGGCATATAGACACGGACCGTAGTAAACTTCGGGTAGGTTGTTGACTGAGAAATTATGGGTTCCAGGCTGATAACGAAAGAATCGTTTAATCTAAAGGAAAACTAAAATAGTCCACAGTTACCCAGTATTATGGTCTTTCTCCGTTTGAAAAAGATTTTATCTGTCTCGAGTTAAACATATTCTATGACTTCTAAATGTTCAGGAACTCAGTACATACAGCGCCGTACATATAGACACGGACCGTAGTAAACGTCAGGTAGGTTGTTGACTGAGAAATTATGGGTTCCAGGCTGATAACGAAAGAATCGTCCAATCTAAAGGACAACTAATGTAGTCTACAGTTACCCAGTATTATAGTCTATCTGGGTTTGAAAAATCGTTTATCTATCTCGAGTTAAACATAATCTATGAGAATGTTCCGGAACTCAGCATATACAGCGCCGAACGAATTGACACGGATTTCCCGTAGCTTAACGACGCCTATACTATTTACGTCGGAAAGCTTGTTTATAGAACGAGGAAAGGAACCGTAATACAATGGACTATGTTTTTGGAAAGCCAATATAAACATATAGAAAGGGCTAATGATATGTTGTTGCATTTTCCGCTCTCAAATAAGTGTGAAAAACATGGCGATTGCTACAATTTAGGGAAACTTTACGACGGTACTAAGGAAAAGACGAAGAAACGCAACATTTCCTGCAGCTTAACGACGCCTATAATGTATAGGGGAGATGTCTCTAGGTCGGCGGAAAGCTTGTTTATAGAAGGAGGAAAGGAACTATTATAAATAATACTATGTTTTTGGAAAGCCAGACATAAACATACAGAATGGACTAGACATGGTGTTGTTATATTTGGTCGCTCTCAAATATGCGTAAAAAACATGGCGATTGCTTCTAGGAAAAGACGAAGAAACGCAACATTTCCTGCAGCTTAATGACGCCTATACTGTATAGGGGAGATGTCTCTCGGTCGGCGGAAAGCTTGTTTATAGAACAAGGAAAAGAACCGTATGTTTTTGGAAAGCCAGACATAAACATATAGAAATGACTAGGCATAATAATGTTAGATTTTGCGGCGATTCAGCGAGAAATCATGGAAGATATCTAATATTTCAGGTAAAACCAAATATGAAAAAGTATATACAATGCTTGTGTTCAGTCGCGCGAGGTTGGTAAGGACTTTATTCATAATAATCAAAAAGATCATATGGCTTTGAGATGCCTCTAGTTAACTCATTACCGCAATGCTTTCTTTACATTACATTTAAGTCAATGTAAAGCTTACGGAAAGAAACACATTATATTAACGTGACATTTACACATGTGGAAAGGTTACGGAAAGGCGATATTTCCATTTCAGTTGCCTTTCCGATGTCGTAAAGGCTGCTTAAATATTTCGCCGCCTTTAGTACCCCTTAACGCAGTTCGTAAAGTTGGCTTAAATATGTGTTTTCGTGCTGTGATCTTTTATGGAAATATTTTATTTACATTTTCGCCCACCCTTTGAGTTTGACGGCCCAAGACCCGCTACTTTTTGTTGAGATTTCCAGACTTTCGGGTCGTGTTGCGTAGCAGCAGCGTGTTCGGCTCAGGACCAAGAGGTCCCGGGTTCTAATCCTACCCATGTCACCGATCTTGTGTTTTTATAGTAAAGCGCACGACTTTCCTTACTTCACTTAGTTGGGAATGAGTATCTAGCTTTGGTTAGTGACGTCCCTCGGGAAGGTCCCGTGTATAAGGAGGGCCACACCCCACGCACGTTAAAGGGTCACTGCACTTATCGAAATTGTAGGGTACTTTCCCGATGTGAGTGGTTCAAACCATATAATACATAATTAAAATCGTTAACAGATATTTTAACCCAACAATGTAGTTGATGGCAATTGGACACCATGGAGTCAATGGAGCAGCTGCAGTGCTTCTTGTGGCGGAGGGAATCACAGCAGGACCAGGGAATGCATCAATCCTCGACCTATGCATGGGGGAAGCAACTGCACAGGGCCATCTTTTGAAATAGGAGCCTGTAATACAGAAAAGTGCCCAGGTGAGAATGACATATGGTTGGGTTGGAAACAAGCAATAACTGGTAGCACAAATGAATGGAACATAAGCGTATAAACTAATATTCCAATGATATATACATGTACATGTATGGCACACCTTGAATACGGGCACACTGGCTGTGCATATCATGGCATATCAGAATAAAACTATTTACAACTTTTGTTCCACAACTTGCAACTATTTCTTTCACACGTTACAGATTGTCATGAGAAGTGTAAAAATAAAGGTTGATTAAAATTCTATAACAAAACCTATAAGGAACTTACCTATTTAGCTAATGTTGAAATTCAGGTAACATTTCCAAAAACTGCAATCATGTAAAATTTATGTTACATAGCGATTTGTGTTACATATCTTCTATATTTGTCTCAGAATGCAGTAATTCTTTAATAATTCTCCGACTTTTACTATTCCCTCAGTTTGCAAAAATCTTACTGACCCTGTCAACGGAATTGCAACCTGCAACTATACTGACGACGAGATTCACTGCACCATCTCCTGTAAACCTGGGTTCGAGTTCTATGATCAGCCAGTTCTTCACTACTATTGTGGACAATCGACATCCTATCTATGGAACCACGAGTCACCACGGAACCCTCTGGGAAGGTATCCACCATGTTCAGGTGAATATTTTACATTCTACTGTGTTTTTTTAGTTCTAAAAGACTTTTAATGGTAAAATTTAACTGTACATTAAAAGTAAAAATGGCGAACTCAATCCACATTGCTCTGCAATGGGATAATCCTTCTCAAAATGCCCCTAATAATGGTATGCAGGCTGTAGAATTTATTTATTTTTTTCTTTTTGTTTTTGTTCTTTACAGAAGCCACCCAACCAAAGGCATTGGATATGAAACATGTAATGACCTACTCGAATTTGTCTTGCAATACAAAAGAAATTGCACGTTTGGCAAAAGCAGAGGTGAACAAAACGATTCAGATCAATGTGGAAAAAATCGAATGCATTAAGCATAAGTCATGCTACGTCAGGTCAACCACTGTCGAAAACTGTTTAGGCATGATTGGCGAAAGCCATGCAGTAACGGTTACTCTTGAGCTTTCAAGCATTTCTGTGGCTGACATGGGGACAAACAACACCAGTGAGAGCCACTCAGCTGAGAAAGGTAGGACGTTTTGAATTCAGGGTATAGTATCAGATACATTTCCATACCACACTACGTTACAACTTGGTGCAATTTTAGCAAAAAAGTGCATGATTCGTCGTTTTGTATTCACATCCTGAGTATTTAAAGTATTTAATAATTGGAAAAATGTAATTACATATAATGAACAAGTGTCAAAAATAACGTTTAGTGATGTAACGGATTATAATTTAATGTACCATGTAGAATATTTACTAACGATGTCATCAAACTAGAATAATCTATGTTTTTATATAATATCGATTGCATCAATTACACGATGCGCCATTAATGATAGACCTCAATTGTATATTGACACAGAAACTTTCGTACATAATTGACGATGATATCTAAATCGAGATTGCTGAACTCTGCAAAAAAATTTAACTAGTTTCCATGGTAACACCAAACATATTGACCTTATATAACTAATATAAAGCTTTTGACGTAAAAAGTAAGACATTGGCATACTTGAAAGTTGAGATACTGAATGGACTCCTTTCTTTTTTGACAGGGCTAACGAAGTCAATTATGAACATGGAGTCAGCTGCCAAACAGCTCAAAAACATGACTCTCAATGACGCTTTCACTGTGTTTATTGATAATGAGCCGTATCCCGTGGACAACAATGCCACAAAGACTTCTGGAGCGCCTGACTGTGCTATAGGCGAGGTTGCGGTTATGTTTTACTGCGGTACGAACATCCATTCGTTATTTTGCATTCTCTTGAAATTCCTTCTTAGCCTTAGAACTTTTACCTACTTTGTTTACAATGTGTAAACCAACATGGGCGTTTCCATTATAAAGCTTATTTAAGTCGGCCTAGACGTCACCCCCCTATTAATCGAGAACGGCATGGCGCATGATCATTAATGTTTACAAGATATTGTACTTGGGTTCGGCATAAGTCAAGTCAGTGGACTAGTAAAATATATTCAAAAGAAATTGTAGCAATCTTCCTGTCATTATGACGTAATATGACCTAATATGATTTTATTGAATATGTCATCTAAATAGATTTTTCTTATAGAAATATTATGGTTTACATCAAAACTTATTTATAAACAACATTACGTATTGAGGAAGACGTATTTAGTTATAAAAAAAATACCAGGAGTCCAAATATATCTGACAAAGTGGATGAGGGTTTAAGAGGCTACAAAACACAAGTTTAGTGGATGAAGAAATCCATCAATCAGTAGAACAATGCTGAGTGTTTCTTCTATTGTTGATCTTACAGTCCCTTGCCCTGTCGGGACCAGTTTCGATAACGGGAAGTGCGTGAAGTGTGATATTGGCACCTACCAAAACGAGACTGGGCAAGTGAACTGCATAGCCTGCCCAACTGGTCTAACCACCGAAGGATTTGGAGCATTTGACAAAGAAGATTGTAGAGGTAAGAAGGAATCGTCACATAAAAGGACTTGCATAAGGAAATATGTAGTCAACTTTACTTTACTTTAGATTATGCAGATGAATGAGCTTTGCTTATCAGTACATACTACGCTACATGTAAATCTTTTTTCACACTGGAAAAATGAAAACTGCAGATAAAAAGCTTTCTTTTGTCATCATTAACATTTAGTTTGATAATTGGATAGGATAAATATTTGTGGCTAGTCGGATGTAAAATATAGTACCCATGCTTGTTTATATTAGTATATACCTGCATAATCCATACAGACACAATGCAGTGTCTGTATGCATTATACATGCTATCAAATGTATATTTTATGAGCCAATTATTAAACAAGACGCAAACTTAGTTAAACTGTAAGTCTTTTTAATGGCATAAACCCTAGGTCACACTTTGGTGCAGCAACAACATAGAATTATTTTTTTTCAAATCACACACAACATATCTTTATCATACATACCAGTGACAGAAACAGCAGCTGTCACCACTGATCAACCTATCACCCATGCATATGCTCACGCACCAGGTAATGTATCATGTGTATGGTAAAATTTAAAAATTTTATTTTGATATGAATTATAACCTTAATCTATTGCAAAATTAAAACACTAAAACACCATTAACAAAATATAGATATTTCAGGGAGGTATTTCAGATTCAATTTTTCATTTCTTTTTTAATTTCTTTATCAAATAAAAGAACTTTGAATTAGTTTGTTGATCACCTAGCCGTAGTGACATCAGCATTTAAATGCAATAAATATTGATAGCACCCATGAAATATATTCTTTGACTTCATCGTCTAAAAGTAAAGTTATTTTTTTTCAAAACTGCATTACCGGAGAAAATTGCTTTAAGATAAGAAATAAGTATTTCCCATTTAATGTGGACATCTTTTACTTTAGATTCAAAGTGGATCTCCGTTGGGTTCGGAACAGCTGCGGCGCTGATCTTCGCATGTCTAGTTGCAGTTTGTTGGCTGATTCTCAAACGTAAATATAAGTAGTCCATTAAAATTACTATCTACTCTAGCTTGTTGTGGGGAGGAGTATATGTGCTTTTTGTGTTACTACTTTGCTGTTTTATTAGTATTACCTCCTGCCATTTCGTGACATGATGAGTTTAACTTTTATACTTTTTTTTAGTCTGAAATTGGGGGTAAAATTGGGCAAACACTGCTAAATATGTATCATTTCGGGGGTAATTAAAATTGCTTCACTAACTTTAAGCCCAATTTCCGACAATCATATAAAATCTGGGCTTCTGCCTGTGAAAACCAAATGACTCACCAAAAACCTTTACTTCCTTTTTTTTCCTTCAAAATTTTTTTGATTCCTTTGTTTTCTATGCCAAATCCATCAGCATTTCGCTTGGGGTGATTTTAGAACTAGCGATTTGGGAGACTTCGGAGAGGGAGGAAGGGAGAGAGAGAGAAGGAAAGAGAGGGAGAGAAGGAAAGAGATAGAGATGTTGATGTTTCTCAGTCGCACCTAATAACTTACCTTTTTTCGACGAATAGGCCGATGGGTGACTAAAGCGCAAGTACAGCCATCCGAAACAGCAACGCATCCAAGTAAAAAGTACATTTTTGGTAAGGCGAAAACATCATCAAGCTACATTGAAGCGATTTTTAAGACAATTGTTATTCAAAGAACGTGATTGACATATTTCAAGATAATATTCCTTAGAATTGTTTTTATGCATTCATTTTTTAAATTATTTTTAAACTATTTACAAGGGTGTATTCAAACCCAATATTATGTATATATATAAGAAGTAACAAACACGAGTAACAGTTACCATGTTTCTGATAAACAGGTGTTGACTTGGATGAAGATCAAGGAAGACACCCAACTGCAAATCAAATGAAGCTACGTGGAGATGTCTTTGCCTGGAACAGTGATTTTAAGTGCGAATCAAAAGTTTAAAAGGGCTTTTAGGATGCAAATTTGAACGGGTTTTACAGGCTACCTGTGTCGCTGAATTGGGAACGTTTTTATGTTCGTTTTAATTACGATTGTAATAAACAGTTTTAGTTACTAAAATTATAGCATTATTGTTCTTGAATGGAGGTCGGTGTATCGAAATCTCTCGTCATTATTAGATGTTTTAAGGTGTAAGTAAATTGAAAAATATACCTATTGTTTTGACTCTTTTAAAAATTCTATAGTTTAATATAAGTGGTATATAAGTGATTGTAAAACTTGACACATAAAATTATAGTTTTGAATATGGTCATATTTTACAACTGAAAACATTATTGCCTCCTTAATTATGTATGTCAAACTTTATTTGAAATATGTGTTCTGTGGATCATTTCAAGTAACATTAGATAAATGTGGCAATAGATCAATTTTGATTATGCATTTTTCTGTTTCAAGCAGAATTGTTATAATGATCACGCAATGCGTTAAGTAGGACTATATGTTACGATTGAAACTTACAATGTGTGTATTTCCTGGCAATTTAGATTAAAGGATGCTTTAAAATCCTGAGGGTTGTTCGTGAGCAAGCACTTGCATTTTCTCGTTTCCAACGCAAATATAGGCCAACATTTCCTGCAGCTAGAGCCTAAATTCCATCTAAAATTGATTGCTATAAATATTTCAGATAAAAAATGATCAAGGTATTAACTTTCTTCACATGTTTATATATTTCTAAACTAAATACTTTACACAAGAGCAACATAGCCAAAGCCCCTTTAATACATTTAATTGCAATACACACATCGATCAATTAAGTTTTCTTAATGTGGGAAGACTTCTTAGATTGTAGAAAAGGAAAACGCTCAGCAGCACAATGTATTTCTAACCATTTAATCAAGGTCGTCATTTTCCATGCTGCTCCTGTAGTCTATTCAATAAAAATGAGAACGAGGTAATACTTCTGCAGGTTGTCGAAATTTCTGGTATATCATAACTAAACATAGGTCTAGAGATGCTTAAAAGTGACTCGTATTTTGGTAGAAAATCCCATACTGAACGATTGCAGTTTAGATGTAGTCTTTCCACGAAAATACGGACGTGATGACAGGCATGGTATTTTCCGTTGTGTCGGTAGGTGTCGCTTTAGCCTTACGTAAAGACAAGTCCAATGGCACTTCTTGTTCCAACACTGGTGGCGATAACGCCATCGGTACCCACACCGAACAGAAACCGACGTTATACGTTGGTCCGACAGTGGCAGTTCCTCCATTCGATTGTCGATCGGAGGCAGGCGACAGTTCTTCTGACCATTCCATGTTATTATGACTGGTGGCGGTAGTCTCTGTCGGAGTATGTTCTGGTACAGGGCAGTTGTCGCTGTTGCCACTTCCGAGGAAAATCCGCCGCCTCTTCTTTAGGGGAACGACGAGGTCAACCCCTTCTTTTTCAACAGATGTGGCCTGGCAGCCGGTGTTTGTGGGTTTGTCAGCCAGTGACGATACGAGTAGAGACTTCCGCTTGCCGTATCTCCGTAGTTCCTGTGGCGGTTTTGGCGGCTCATCGCCCTGGTGCCTTTTGTCTGTCTTCACGTTGGCAGAGCTACAGTTCTGACCACCATCTTTGACCTGAGACACGAAATCACCAATCCCCGAAGAGAGCTTTGGTGGGTGCTCTGTCAGTCCCGACATGGCGGTCTCGCGAGATTTTTGGGTGTTGGTCTCACGAGATTTGGTGATGTGTACGTGCCCCATCATCACGTGACGGTAGAGGTCTAGAGGGTTGGGGTCCGAATAGTCGCACAGAAAACAACAGTGGCCTAAAACACGTCTGTCGTAGTGTCCTACCAGCCGACAAACTTCACATGACCTCGAGCAGGTGTCCGTTCCTTCGTCAATATAGGCCTCGTCACCGCGGTGGCCCGTATCAAGATGGATGTGCCGCCTAGCGATGTGTTGGTGAAGTGCAGGTTTGCTGGCTGCTGAGACACCGCAAGCAGGACAGTGCCTGGTGCCGAGGTGCAACTGGAGGTGATACGACAGCACTGCGGGACCAGACCACGTCACGAAGGAACAAAATGGGCAGGAATAGGCCGCTCCTATCGTACTCTGTTTCTGGCTTTCACGCCTACGCCTGAAACAAATAATAATTCAAGTTAGGTTTGACTGGATTGACTAGCAGGTGCATAATAATACCACTGTAAGGGGCAGTCAGATTTTGCAATAAAGATGTCCTTTAAAGACATGCCAAAAACTGGGGATTTGGGGGGTCTTCGTGGTCTTTGGGAGCTTTTATGTGCCATTTTCTGATTGCATATAGACAGCATAGCCGGCCTGGTTGAATTAACCCCGTTTTTTTTTTTTAGAACTGGGCTACTCAGAAAACAGCCTAAGACTACCAAACCTCCAGTTCTATAAGCCAGATACGGAAGTGACAAATGTACAAGTGGCTAAGGTTCCGGGATATTTCTCGGGGTGATAGAACTCTGCCACCAACAAAAACACCCCATAACAACGGTCAAGATCTTCCCCCGAAAAAACAACCCCACAGCACTTGTCAATTGTAAAAGTAAGAAACACGCGCTGCCCCACTGGAGGCATGCCCATTTTCTTTGGATTAGTCTATTTACCGGAATAAATCGGAAAACACATATAGGAGGCTTAAATCTACCGGAATACACCCTGCATTGATGAATAACAGCCCAAGTCCCTGTATTTTGGTATAGGATAACTTATACGTAGCCCAGGGAACAAGGAATCAGGGCAATCTAATCAGCGGAGGCAACCCGGCCATATGCTATGTAAACTGAATCATGGCCGCGTTTTGTAGTGATTTCTTGTTCCCTGGGCCACGCACGAATAAGTTATGTTCAAAATACAGCAAATGGCGATGTTAAAGTATAAAAGAAATTTTAATTTACATAGGTACGTTTCACTGCTCTTCTGTGATCGCGCTAAACAAACATATTGCGTTACACTATATAGTGTATGTAAACAAACATGGCGACTGGACGGGTTGCCTCCGCCGATTGCCGATTCATTATTTTGTGATTCCCTGTTCCCTGTGCTGCATATAAGTTATCTTATGCCAAAATACAACAATTTGGGGTGTTATCTCATCAATGCAGGGTATATTATTCAGTAAATAGGCAGACTGCAATCTTTGTAGCGCAAGTAATCATGACCATTTTCTCTTTGGGTACGTATAAATTACACCATGATTCCTTCAGAAATTGTTCCCTGTTTTTGGATTTGATCTGACTTACATCTACTGCATAACACATACATGTCGGTGTCTTTTTGTGTTATATCACATGCGGCGGTGCCTACTGTGCAGCATTTCACACCTTTTTAATTAACAATTATCTGGCATAGCGTTGTTATACTATACATGCTAAACCGTTAACCATTTGCATCACACTGTCCTAACCTCCTGTGCAGACATGGTCGAGCGGCATTGTTTTTTTTTCGAGGGGGGAGGGCGGTAATACACAATTTTACTCGAGCCGTGCATATCTGCAAACGATGCTTATCATCCAGACATCCAGTCCCTCCCTATATAGGTTTAACGCCACCGCAACTAATCCAATAAGGTTGGTAACTATGTCTTACATTTACTCAAGGGGATTTATATATATATAAAGAAGGTCTCCTGTGCTCTTATGCCGAGCGTAGGGAGGTGCCCATCTCCATTTCGTACCTTGGGCGACACACAGTTACGCAAAGCACTACAGCAGTCGCTGGTAGTTTGACCTTCCCACACTTCCTCATATGTGCTGACTGCTGAGTGCTATGCATAGAATGCCTTTGGTATGACCCGGCGGGGTTTGAACTCACGACCTCCCGGTTACAACGCTAGCACTCTACCAATTGAGCTATTGCACCAGGATATATAGAGAACCCGGAATATATAACCCTAAAGAATCGGCTGTCGTGATGATCGCTACCAAGACGGTTCTTAGCAAGTTGAACAGAATTTTCAAAAACGAATAAAAACAACATAATACTTGACATTTTCCAAATGGATTGTTTCAAGAAAAAAATGTAAAAAAATGTACTGATATCAGCACAACTGAATGTGCGGGCAGTACAATCTTGTTTACCAAGACCTGCTTTGTTTACCCAGCCTATAATAACAAATTACATTCCATAGATAAAGCTACGTCGAGAAACTGTACTACTAGCTCGTGCAATACTAGTAATTGAAAATTACGTACCTCCGGGTAGGCCTATGTGGCTGATCCACCCCAAGTCCATAGTGAACCTTGTCCATTTTCTTCACAAAACTTCACACGCAACAGGACACCAGCACAGTCAGGAGACAGAACTCGGAATGGAGACTTGAGTAAAATTGTCCAGGTTTATACTAGCTGGTACGCGGGGCTTTTGAATAACAATAACGTGCCGACAGACAGACAAGGCATAGTCCATTGTTCGCTGGGGGTTCGGGAATCTATGCATAACAATGACACTGGAACAAAGCTACCCGTGCCAGTGTAGTCGAACAATACTTGTTTACATATAAATAGTAAACAGTCTTATCACACCTCAAGTTAGTTTTATCTTTGAAAATGTTTCATATTCTTCAAATTTGAAAGTAGTCTTGACAGTTGTTTATTCCAAAGAGTTACAGCATTACTGCTAGCATGGTAGATTCATAAATTTAGAACAACGGGTCAATATAAATGGCAGTATGTTCTGCTAGAGGTATGTCTATGAAAAATACGACATGAGTTTATTTTATTTGCCAGGGGACGAAATGTGTCATAAAACTGTTTAAAAGTGCAGGGTTGACTTAAAATCATAGTACATGTATTTCCCAAATCTTAGCTATTACATGGGCATCACTAACAGTAATAGCCTGATCTTTAAAAGCCTCCTTCGCAGTCTTGTTGGGCGACGGCGTTATTTTTGCTGCGAGCGACGCGAGTAATGTGCCGCCACAAGGGACGATTTGCTGCCGAGGGAGTTTTTGCCGCGGAGAGAAGGTTGGAGCGCGAAACCTTCTCTCCGCGGCAAAAACTCCCTCGGCAGCAAATCGTCATTTGCGGCGGCATATTACTCGCGGCCGCATATTACTCGCGTCGCTCAGAGTAAAAATAACGCCGACGCCCAACAAGACTGCGAAGGAGGCTAGATCTTTAAGGTCGTCGAACTCTGTTCTCCAACACTGCAGGTGGCCTCTATTGGACTTCCTTATCTGTGATAGAATCGCGCCGCAAGCGGAATTTTTGTTAATTGCAACGACTGCCACGCACGCTCCCGGCATGCAATGTCAATTCGTTCTCCGATCCAGCCGCAAATAGCCTCAGGCTCCGACAAGCGCACAACACTAAAGCCTGCTGGATTTTAGGTGATGTCGTGGAGGAGGACTCCGCAATCTCGCGGATCGACAAGCCACTTCGACAAATCCACCGCCTGAGACGTCCACCAGACAGGATCTGAAATCTACCGCCAGCAAACCTCACACCAGTACCTGGTCTACCACGAGCGGCAGATCTACCGATATCTCCTATCTACGTGCCTGAAGGCACTCGGGTCAGGAGTTACGAGAGCTGGTTTATAATCTAACCTCCAAACAAGCTTAAAGAGCACGCAGCAGTGCATTTTGTTGATGCAATTTCTTTCAGAGTCTTTGAAACACAAGTGCAAATAATAGAGCAATTATACGCAAAAAAATTAGAAATTGGATCATCAAACGAATTTGTTATTTGTCCAATCTCGAAATTGTGGTGTACATATACAGAAATATAACGTACAGCAAAGAAAACTGAGAGAGTCTTCTAAGTGTCAACAATCGTTTGCACAAATTAACTTGTTGGCGTTGTCTGGAGTCCGAGGTCGATGAACTTCAATCAGTCTAAGCTACTCCCCATGAGCTGTCTAACTCTCTATAGCTACTGAAGTGGAAAAATTTAAATGGATCAGGTCAGCACGGGTTGTCACACGCTTTGGCTGACGCCCAGAACGGCGTTGTATGTCTACAACAATCAGGTTTTACAAATCTTAGATTTTACATTTTTAGCACAATAGAAAGTGATTACTACTTTAGTTTATCAAATGTATTCAAAACCAACTTGTATCAAACCCAACATGGTGACAATAGGTCAGGGAATTTAGAGGCATGAGGCACTGTCAAACATAACCTAATATGGCCTCCAAAACACTGGACCAAGTCCACCAAACATGACTAAACTAGTTCGGGGGATGGATATATTTGGCTGGAGTTCACGTTCGGTAAGGTCGGCTACTGTTCGGCTGCTATCCTACGCCGTAAAACATTTGGGTGTGGACGGGAGGTTCGGCCAAGTTTGGCCGGTGGTTTTCTGAGTTTGGGGGCTTGGTCAGTCGTCTTGGGGACGTGTTCGGGGTTTAAATTTGACTCCATACGAAAAAAAAAATCGAGGAAGCATTACCTGAAGTTTACGCATGCCCATTTTACTGTATGACATCAGTCACACTTTCTGGACATAGTTGGGACTTTACCGAACTCATTTATACTCACAAGAGACAAAGGGACGCACTATCTGTCTTCTTAGATAACAAACTACAAAGAAACAGGCACCCCCTACTTTCTACCTGCCTGAACTTCAGAACACGACGCTGACTCTTTCTACGAAAAAAACACCTTCTATTGAAGATTAGGTAATTGTCAGACAGATCATAAGATACAAACCCATCTTCCATTCAGGCATACCACTGTTATCTGGCCAAGAACGGTTTGGGCACCGGTCATTCTGAATAACGCATTGTATTGTGCGCCTCCACCTTGTCCGTACCAAAATAAATTCATGAAGTAGATGATACTCCTTGTTTTCTTACCAACAAAAATAAAGAATAGGACTTTATTTTAACCCTGATTTAGTACGCAGATGTGTAAAATTGCGCAGCGGGATTTTTTCTCGTCTAAAGACCCAGTGTGGATATCTTTCTCAAGAACGTGTCGAATTTTGTACTATTGCATGCAGTGAAAATGTTTGACAACTCACCATGTGCTTAATCTACATACCTATAATCAAACCCTCAACGTTACACCGACAAATCAGTGTCTGGATCCTTCAAGGACATGGCTCCAGCCGAACACACGTTTAGTTGTCCGTCAGTATGAAGTACCTGTCAAACCCAAGGCTAAAGCACGATCTTGTTAAATTTAAAAACAGTACTAGTAATCCTCAATTATCTCACTATTCAATACTGGTAATCCTCAATCATCTTATCAAAGAGCTGGCTGATGGATTAGTTTTAGAGCTTGCTTTCAGCATATGTGTTCGGACAGCAGGCCGGTTTGTGCCTCCCAGTATTTTCTGCATGAATAGACACAATAATGAGTCTTCAGCTCGTGTCGCCTTGATCTTATGACTGCATAGTATTTGCTATATTTAAAATGTGGTCGATTGTTAACAAAGGGGGTATTGTGTATGACATGTAAGAACGCGTGGTGTCTTTACTAGAATGCATGGTAGTGTAGTTGTTGTCTTGAAAATAGTTGTCTATGGTATCGCCCAAAGGTCATCAATTACTTTCGCACCATTGACAGTAGATAGGTGAAGCCTGATATTCAAGGTGGTTGAACTTTGTTCTCTATCGTATCTTTCTATGGCGTCCTGAACTTACTATAAAACAATGCAGAATAAGATTCTCCTACTTTAGTGTAAATTGACTAATATGTTAATTGATTTACTATTTATATTAGACCTATACCTTTTTAGCTTCACATGAGAAAGTTTTCATACAATTATAAGAAAAACATTGGGTGCGTGGACGAATGCACTAAACTACATTGGAACTTGAGTTTAACATACGACAGAAACCATATTGTAAAGCGTTACGTAAGTTTGATGTATATAACTGCCAGTTGAAGTAGACTGAATTTTGCCATCTGGCCTTTTCCGTGTGGAATATACAAGACATGAAGTTGTCAATTGAACCGTGCCATATAGCAATAAGTCATAGAGATAAATCTGATTGTTTTTCACAAAAGAAGAGGTCTCATACCCACAATCTTATAGGACAAAAATGTGACGTTAAACAGGTTATTAGTAGGAAAAAGATTTGAAAAAGATAAGGTAGATCAATATAAGGACGTATGAGAAACACAACAACACCTGACGAGAGCGCCAATTTTAGAGTATGACATCATTACACATGTTGGAAACAGTAGGGACTGTACCGAACTCATTTATATGCACGAGGGACAAAGGGACACATTCAACGTCACCTGTCTGTTTTCATAGATAACAAAGAAACAGGCACCGCCTACTTTCTCCCTCACTCAACTTCGAAAGACGACGCAGAGTTTTTCTACGAAAACACACCTTGTTTCTAATATTAGATAATTATCGAACAGACCATAATACCCAAACCTAGCTCCCACTCGGGCAGACCACCGATCAGCTCTGGTGAAGGAAACTGTTTGGCGCCATTTTGACAAACAGATTGTGCGCTTCCACTTAGACTGCACCAAAACAACTTCAGCATGAAGTAAGTGGTAAATTTTCTTCCAAAAAAAAGGTCTGTATTTAAATCCTATTTAAAGGCAGTTAGGTTTTTTTTTCTTGTGTGACTTTCTTTTCAGCGAACGTGCCTAATTTTCTAACATTGTATGCAACGAAAAAAATTCACAAGTCTCTATTTGCTGAATTTGTATTTGAGTGTCAAATAGGAATGTTATAGCAACTATATTTTTATTTGATATCCATATCACTGCATGCAATAGGTATATCTTAAGAACTGTAAATGTCGTTGAAAGACCTACGCTGTATGAAAACAAATACTTCCTTATTACGCAGGACGTTCTGAAACTTAAACCTTTGGTACAAATGTTTACCAAGGCAATTTTGCTTATATAATTCTTCTCATTTGTTGATCACACCCATGTTTCTTTTTCGTACATGTTTAGAATAACACTAGAAATAGCTGGGATAAATACAGTGTACTCTTAGACTAGCAAGTCCGGTATTGTATTTATCATGGTTTTGGCGGGCTTCCTGCGGACCTAAAAAGTTTTCAGCCGTCCAGTTCTGTTCAGGTCTCCATTAGTTTTAGGCCCTTTACAAGTTTTGGGTGGGTTTTGTACCAGAGAAGTTTTATTTGCCCCTTCCCGTCGGGCAAAATCTACCGGGGAGCCTAGTTCAACTGGGCGGCGGGGAACGTGATCATGTCCGTAGGAAGCCCGCCCATGCCACGGCAGACAGAGCACCGGGCTAACTGTACTGTGTTCGTCTTTTGATTGGATAGAAGCATGGAATTGCTTAACAACTCTCCATGTGTTGAATTGTGTTAATGTATGCAATGGGAATATTCTAGCAACTAGTACTGATTTAACTGATTTTTCAACCTCACTTCCTTGTGACGCAGTTCGTTTTTAAATTCAATAAGTGCATTCTTTTATTCGTCTTCTGCTTGGCTTGAATAGTTATACGTTATACCTACATTAATACTTTATGCATTGGAACTATTTAAGAGTTTTCGATGTCTTAGATTTAACGGATCGTTCCTTTAAAAGACCTACGCTGCATTTGTCCCTATCTTACTTTCTTGTTACCCAGTACGTTCTTGGCAGCTCTAACCAAGGCAATTACCGATAAATTTACGACTAATTGTCCTCATTTGTTTAGTAGAGTCTCCTTCTTATATCCACAAGTTTAAAACAACACTGTAAATAGCTGGGATAAATGCAGTGCCCCCTTCCTGTCCTGCAAAACTTACCATGGAGTCTTGTATAACTGGGCGGGCGGGGACGTGCACATGCCCGTATGAATCCCGCCTAGGCTACGATAGACTAGACACCGCCCTGACTGTACTGAAACTCTTTTGCAAAGTTATGAAGACAACATGTTATAAAAAAGATCACGGCTTGTTTTCTAAATCATTTCTTCAAATATGTTCTACATGTTAAAAAAGATTAAAATGGGATGGCAACAAGACGCTTCATATGGTATCGTCCTAATCTCAAAATTGACCTTCGCATCCAAAGGCGTAGCCTGAGAGATCTGGTCGTCCAACTGTGTTGGCTTGCAATGATAGCCTTAGATTTCATTACCGTTTTAAAAAGCATGGATTTAGTGACGCCTTATGTATTTATTGTCAATCTCTGAACGTTATAGCAACATATTTATGTCTAAATCCTTCAAGAAAATGGTTCCTGTTAGCTAGTATGTCATGGCTCGTCACGACACAAGTTTGGCCGTCTGCCAGCATGAGGTACCTGTCAAACCTGAGGTTAGATCATGGCGATAAATGAAATTTCACGGTGACGAGATACGTCTTAAACACGATCTTGTTGATTTTTAGAACAGCAATCCCCAATCATGTTCGAAAGGACATTTGCATTCTGCTATCCTATCTGGATCTAGCCCTTGACTCAGTCTTAAGCTTATATCCAGTGTACATGTTCGCACAGTACGACACTTTGTCCCTCCTAGTATTTTACGCGTGAATAGACATGGTAATGAGTTTTCAGCTGTGATCTTCTTGATCTTATTACTACATAACATCTGCTAGATTGAAAGGAATACTTAGATCGAGAAGGGAGTGCTATATTCCGACAGACATTAATTTTAGTCAGTGAAAATGGTATTCCTTTACAGTACATAATTAAAAGCCCATTATGATCTCACTCACTCACTCACTCACTCACTCACTCACTCACTCACTCACTCACTCACTCACTCACTCACTCACTCACTCACTCACTCACTCACTCAAGGCCGCATGCTTCCGAGGGAAGCGTAGCGCCTCGGCATATGGATCTCCAGGTGGTTCTGTCCTGGGCTGCCTCCCACGCAGTATCGAGATTGAGGGAGACAGTCAGAAGGTTATTTTTCAGTTGATCGCACCAGGTTCGTCGTGGGCGGCCTCTGGGACGGGACCATGCAGTGGGGGCCGGCTCTCTTAGTAGAGCAGCAGGCTCCAGGAGGGGCACCGCCCGAGCAATATGGCCAAAGAGCCGGAGCCTGGCCAGCCGCATCTTACTGGTCAGGGGAGGCTGTTTGGTGATGTCACGCAGGGTGGCGTTGGGTACACGATCAAACCACCTGATGCCGACCAGTGGTGTCGAAGGCGTTAACACGGAGTTCATGGGTGGCTGTTAACGTCCACGTCTCAGAGTTGTACATAAGGATGGATAGTACCAAGCTGTTATATAGCCTAAGTTTGGTCATTATGATGCTAAGTCTTAAAACGCATCGAATCCAGGACAAACTCTCCAAAATACTCTCAAAACTATCACAGAATTTACCACGCTACCCGATTAGTGTTCATGCTTTAAACTAGAAAGTTACGTTTAACTTCCAGACCTAATTTCGGGGGCGATAAGAAAAATCGTACTGTTTTTTTTTTTGTTGTTTTTTGTTTGTTCTTTGCTATCTTACCAACAATTGCCCTTTTTTGCATTTCTTATCGCCACTCATCTATGCCGAAAATATTGACGATGAAAAAAACGGCGTAATTCAGGTATCTTCTCCATAAGTGGCGTAATCTAATTGGTTAATATAATTTTTACATGCAAAAAGTTCAGAAAATTAAAACACGCAGGATGAAACTGGCGCGCACTGCATTGTGCATCCTGATATTATAGTATCCAATCCTGAGGTCAAGCAAAGTAAAGCAAATAATTTCTAAAAAATTAGCTTATTAATTGTTGCTTTTGCACGTCAGGAATCACCACAGATTCAGTGCATTTCTAGTTGTTTATTCTACGTCTAAGGTTAGTAGGTACAGTGCTCAATGCCGTCCAGATGGTAAAGAGATCGAGTCTGTGGTCTCAGCGTTACTTGGCAGGATGGGCTATACTATTACAATGTGTAGGGGTGTTATCTGTATTCTTACTTCGTGTAACATTAATGTGCTAGTGTCCTAACATTTTCGCCGAAAAATGTTTATGTTGACCTGAAGTGTGTGGGTATTGCGTAATCCAGAGTTCCCGGATGTATCGACTGTGGTTCAGCATGGGTGGAAATGATATTGATATCGCAATACGTAGCGCCTTGGCATATGGATCTCCAGGTGGTTCTGTCCTGGGCAATACAAACATGTGCCGCGCAAGTCGTACAAGCAAAATTAGCGAAATTATGCAAGAAGTCGGGTAATTATAGATTCAGTGCAGCATAATCTACCGGAAAATAGCACTCGCTTCTGGAGTTTAGTATTCCTTTAAAACATGGCTTACTGTTTCCAAATGAATTTATTGTGTTCGACATGTAGGAACGTGTAATTGCATGTATTGCAGTGTAGAAGATATCTCAAAAGTATTTGGTCATCTTATCGTCTAAATTTCATCAATTACTTTCGCACCATTGACAGTAGATACATGTAGGTGTCAGCATAGCCTAGCTGATATTAAGAATAGCATTTTAAGAAAAACAATAAGTCTTAGAAATAAATCTGATTGTTTCGCACAAAAGAATCGGTATCCTATCTTTTGCTAACTATCTTATAAGAAAAAAAACTGTAATGTTAAACGGTTTTTTGTAGGAAAAAGCTTTTATGAAGGAAAGTTGGACCAATATAAGGACGTATGAAAAACATAACAACACCTGACGAGAGCGTATGGCCAATTTTAGAGTATGACATCACTACACACTTAGGAAACAGTAGGGACTGTACCGAACTCATTTATATGCACAGGAAACAATGAGGCCGATTCAACGTCACCTGTCTGTCTTCATACATAACAAAGAAACAATCACCGCCTACTTTCTACCTCACTTAACTTCAAAAGACGACGCAGAGTTTTTCGACGAAAACACACCTTGTTTCTAATATTAGATAATTATCGAACAGACCAAAATACCCAAACCAAGCTCCAACTCTCATACCGCTGATCAGCTCTGGTGAAGGAAACTGTTTGGCGCCATTCTGAAAAAAACACATTGTGCGCTTCCACTTATACTGCACCAAAACAACTTCAGCATGAAGTAAGTGGTATATATATATTTTTTTTTTACCATGAATTGGACTTTTTTTTCAATTCCTATTCAAAGGCGATTCAATTTTTTTTCCGTTTGAATTTCTTTCCAGCGAACGTGCCTAATTTTCTAACACTGTATGCAATGAAAACATTACACAACTCCCCATTTGCTGAATTTGTATTTGTGTGTCCAATAGAAATGTTATAGCAACTATATTTCATTTGATATCCATATCACTGCGTGCAATAGGTATATCTTAAGAACTGTAAATGTCGTTGAAAGACCTACGCTGTATGAAAACAAATACTTCCTTATTGCGCAGGACGTTCTGAAACTTAAACCTTCGGTACTAGTGTTTACCAAGGCAATTTTACCGAGAGATTTATTAATAATTTATTAATAATTCATTTGTTGATCACAGCCGTTTTTCTTATTCGCACATGTTTAGAATAACACTAAAAATAGTTGGGATAAATACAGTATACTCGTAGACTAGCAAATCTGGTATTATATTTATCATGGTTTTGGCGGGCTTCCTGCGGACCTAAAACGTTCTGAGCCATCCAGTTC